CACTGGCCTCAATTGCAAGCACACCTCCCTCATTGTTAGAAACCTCATCATCATCCAAGATTACTAAGCAGATTTGCATTTCTACTCATTGAAAAAGGGGATGGAATTTCTCTCCATAGTGAAAGCAAATACCTTTGGCCTTGCATTCCATTAGTTTGGAGTAAAGTATTTCTGCTTATTGAAAAAAGGGATGGAATTTCTCTCCATAGTGAAAGCAAATACAGTTGGCCTTGTTTCCCATTAGTTCGCAGTAACGAATGTCCAAAATTCCTTTACTTCAGTAGTTTTTCCACGTGTTGTGTCTTTCTCCCTTGTTGTTCGAAATTAGGGCTTGTAATTGGGCTAGGATTTGATCTAATTGGGCCAATTTAAATTTTATGTTGTTTGTATGCCCAAACATGTTACCCCTTACTTTGGACCAAGTTGAACCAGATATTGATCCATTTAATCCCAATCCATGATCCAGTCCCTTAAAACTCCTTCATCGAGTAATTCCTCCATCGCTTATATGAATCAAAGATTTGTGAAGTTTTGTTTCCACATCCAGAGTCATCTTCATGGCCTTAATCTGAGTACTAGGGTTGAGAGTTTTCACCTTCAATCTTATTTCTGATTTAAGTCATCTCGAAAAATAATCAAGATATTGTTTAGCCCTATCGAAAAATAAACAAGGTACTAATTTTCAAGGAGACAAACCACTTGTGAAGATAAATATTCAAGCTCTATTATGCACTCCTCAACACCATCAATCTTCTGTAAATTTTTCAATTCTTTAAAGGATTTTTTTTTTATCTCCACAATGCTCAATCAAACCCTTCTTCAATTTCAGCCAAACAAGAATATCCTTTGTTTCGCATAAGAGATTGAACCAGTGGATGGTCGGACCTTCCATCCTTAATTTGGTCAATCGAACCTTCACTTCTTCTGAAACCCCTTAAACTTTGAAACAATTTTCAGCATGTGTGATCCATCCAATTGGATTGTTGTCGTCATGACAACAATTCAACTTTCTTGACAACCATTTTGTATTCAGTTGTGGTGTCCTCGATGGAAGAAGACTTCTCTTTCTCCCTGTCACCTTTATTGCTCTTCAAATTCTCAAGCTCCTCCATCTTGGATTGGCAAAATTCCACCAAGGACTCCATCAATGTTTGCTTTAAGTTTCATCCATCATCATCATATTTGCCTCCAAAGCTTCCATTTTATCCCTCATCTTCGGTGGATGGACCGAATACACTAACTAACTCACTCTCTTTTAATCTTGCAACTCAGACCAATGGTGAAAACTAAAATTTTATGCAAACAAATATGTATTATAAAAAGGAAAATGATGACCTCAAAGATCTACAATGGTAGAAAGTGGAATAAGAATATGTAAATCAAAGTTGTTAAACTCCTAACCAAAGCTTGAAGCTCCTAGACCAAAGAAATACTCTTTGCAATGCTAGCTAACTTTCTAAACTACTTCACACTATCGTTCCCTAAATCTCTTACGATCAAGAAATACCCTAATTGACTCGATCTTTTAGATGTTATTAGTGTGAGACTTAGGTCCAATGATTAAGTCATCAAATCCATTAGAACAATGTGTCCTATCAGGGTCCATATTTGATGGAAAAGCATCCTATGAAATTCCAAAAATACCCACAAAATCTGAAAATGCATCTACGAACACACCATTTACACACCAAAACACGCCTAAAGTGAGTCTCACCCCATTTTTTCCCCAAGATTTAGCCTGAAGATGCATATTCACCCTATGCGCACCCATGTATTCCTATCTGAGACACTCATTTTTAGATAGATTGATCCGGAGATGTATCTCTGGATTGACCTCAGACAGAATACATAAATACATTTTCGGATGCACTCTGATCACATTTAAACTCGTCCAAACTAAATCTCATTCCAATTTTTTTCTCCAAAATTTAGTGCAGAAATGTGTCTTTAAATCCAATCTATTACTGATTTCCTCCTCTTTGCTTTTAATGTTTGTCTTACTATAGTAAAATAATAAGTGAAATTTCTACCACTATTGATTTCTCAGCTTAGTGTGTAGTGAAAAAGATAGTTTTTATCAAAAAAAAAATTCAAGTGGGGTGATACACGGGCTAAATTAAATTTGAGTTTATAAATTTTCCCCTTGTTTTTAATAAATTAAGTTCAAATTCTATACATTAATTATGACATGATACTAGATGTTTTTTTATTCAACGTGAAATATCTTTTATCTCAAAATACAATGTATCTTTAGTTTTGATTTTTATGAAAAAATTCATTTGTAGATATAAAAAAAAAATTATTCAACGTGAAATATCTTTTATCTCAAAATACAATGTATCTTTAATTTTGATTTTTATAAAAAAAATCATTTGTAGATGTAAAAAAAATCATTTATAGATATGACTATAACATAAGTTTCCGCTTTTTTCTGATTTAGTAGATTCCATAAATGCATTTTTAGAAACACTAAAAAAATATATTTTCAGAGTAAATTTAATCATAAAATTGGGATAAGACAAAAAAACTATAAGACACAAAAACTAATGAATTGTATGAGATGCATCCAATAATATTATTTTTAAATTCTCTAGATAGTTTTGATTTTTCACGAGAATGAAGAAATATTAAGAAATTTCCAATATATAATTAGTATTACTACTACTAAAAAAATGTGTATTTATATCTTTTATTTACAAAGAAATATTCGAGAGAGAAATACTTCATGTCCAACGAAGGGTGGGTTGGATTCCTCCAATTAGTACTCTCTCCATCCCATAATGATGCACGCAGTTCATCATTTCACATATATTAAAAAAACAAGAGAAAAACAAGAGAAAATAATATTTTTACTATAATACTTCAAATCATGTATTAGAAATTATAAAAGTTTAATTAATTAGATGATAGAATTGGAAAAAAAAATATTGAAAATTGAAATGAATCATTTATTTTAAGACACTATTTTACTTTAAATTGGTCACTCCTTAAGAGACGGAGGAGTATTATCTAAACTAAAAGGAGTGGGTTCTTTCCCGCAAAAGACAAAAATGTTCCCATCTTTGATACAACGGATAACTTAATGGGAGGTCAAAATACTTGCTGTTAATAACACTTAAATTCGGTCTTTCTCCCTCGGTTCAATAGATTTGTTTTTTCTTTGAACCCTTGCAGATACCTATGAGAAGATGATGATTGCTCTCAAATCCATAAATCCTTCCTTCGGACATGCTAACATCAAGTGTAATATCTACAACAAAAGAAGTTCTACTTTGTACCTCTGCAAGTTCAATGAGTCTGATTCTCAAGCTCCTCAACCAGGAGATAAAAAAAAACAAGAACTACTAGCCCAAATGGCCATGCTTCAAGCTCGAAAAATCCGTTTCACAGATTATCTAGATGAGAGATCAGCATACTTAACCCAATTTGGTGAAAAGGTTAACGCCGAGTTTGAAAAGATTCGAGAAGATGCCCTCAAAGGATTAGATGAAGCTGGTGCCAGAGTACGCCTCCACTTTTGAGCTAGCCATGTAAAATGTTACATCAATAATGAACTCTTATATTCACTTGTATTTAACAGATAATTGCAAACATGGAGAGCCAGATGCTAGAATTCGAGGAATCTGCAGAAATTAACAGACAAGAGATTCAAGAGCGTGAAAACAAGTTAGAGGAGTTTGAAGTTCAAATGGAAAACGGAAGAAATGAAGGGCTATTCTTTAAGAACCTCAGAAAGAAGGTACCTGTTGTTGATAAAGCAAAAGCCAAAGAGGAGGCAGAAAAAATTAAAAATGTAATGAGAGAGAAGGCTGGAAGCAGAATCAGGAAAAATGTTTACCGATTCTTCATTGGCCTGCTGACCTTTACAGTAGTTTATTCTATTGCCTCGCCATCATCTGATTGGAGAAAAGTAGCAGTTTTTGGAGCAATTCTTGTGGCTTTGATTTCTCAGTTCACCTATGAACAAACCATGTCAGTAGAAACTAAAACCACAAGAAAGACCAACAATGAAGAGGAAAATAAATGAGTTCAACTTTTAGTGTTATTTGCTGCATGTTTCTGGTAAAAACCGCTTATTAATTGATATTGCATGATATAATAATCCTGAGTATAGTTTTACAACATGGGCCTATATTATCATGCAGATTTGCTTTGGCATCGACAACCAAGGATATTTGGTAACATCGCTAAAATCACCAAAATCCAAGTAACTGGGTTATAATGTGATGCTGATTAATTTCTTTATAACCTATGTCAATACAGAAAAACATATTCTTTTCAAGCTTTAGAAATGCACCTAGCTAAATTTACCTTTGGTAAAAATCACTTTAATTGATATTGCATGACATAATAAACCCAAGTATAGTCTTACAACTTGGGCCTGATATTATCATGCAGATTTGCTTTGGCATCAACAGAAGATATTTGGTGATATCACTAAAATCACCAAAATCTGAGTAACCGGGTTATCATATGATGCTGATTAAATTTTTTATAACCTATGTCAATACAGAAAAACATTTTTCTCAAGTTTTAGAAATGTACCTTTAGAAGCTAAATTTACCTTTGCATCTTCCTCATGTAAATAAGTAACAGAAACTAATAACTATACAAGGTCATTCCTTCTGTGTAGCTTAAAAAATTAGTGTACCAAACAAAGGAATATAGTAATTGCTGCGCGAAACTCCAAATGGCTTAAAGAAAACGACCAACTGATGCATGGCTTGAGGCAGATTAAAAAATTTCCCACAACAAAAAAAACATGACCCTTTCTGTTCAGACAACTGCAAACTGTAAGCACTCACTTAGGGCAAGCTCCGGCCTGTATTGCACCCATTTACCCGTATCAACAAATGCAGCTTAGGTTCAAACCTAAACATATCATTAATCCTATTTCTGGTGGAAGCGAATAAATGCTCCTATATCAATAGAATATGCTTGTAGTTGATGAACTCAACAGGCATGAGATAAAAGTGGGAACCAAACCAAGTTATTTTAAATCAAGTTGATTCACCAAAAAAAACCACAGCTCTAACTAGTATGTTCCATGTAATAACAGTTGGCATAATACCGTGAGCCAAAGCATCATTTAAATACCTAACTGCATCTGTTACTCTACCACAAGTGCAGAGTCCATTAAGAGTAATGTTATATGAGATGATGTCGGGTTTTAGCCTATCTTCTGAGATTTGAGCCCAAATCTTTGATGCCTTTTCACAGTCCCCAACTTTGTAAAAACCCTCCATAATGGTATTATGGGTAACAAGATTAACACAGTTTCTCTTTCTCATCATCCAATATAGCTGCAAAGCATACTTTACTTTACCAGAAGAACAAAGTCTATGGATGACAATGTTATGCATTGTAATATCAGGCTTAAAGCCCTTTGCAAGAAACTGATAACACAGCCTAAGTGCCGTGTCATTCTCGTTCATATTTCCCTGACAAAGACCATCTATCAACATGCTGTATGTGATAACATCTGGTTTCCACCCTTTCTCCAACATTTCCTCAACGCAATGGTATGCCTCGGGAAATCTTTCTGCTCTACAAAATCCATTTATAAGAATATTATAAGACACAACATTAGGTGAGCAACCTTTGGTGCTCATTTCCCTAAAGACTTGAATAGCACTGTCAACTTTGTAATGTTTCATAAACCCATCCATGAGTGCATTGTAGACATGAGGATTCAATCTACATCCACGCTTATCTGTCAAATTCAAAACTCCAGCCGCTTCATCTAATCTTCCTTCTTTGCACAAACCACTTATCATTGACGAGTACGCAAAGGCATCCACATCACCGCCTCTATTTTCAGCCTCTTCCAAAACCCGCAAAGCCTTATTCACATACCCATTCTTACACAAACCATGAACCAATATTCCATAAGTAGCTGACTCTACACAACAATCCACCTCACACAAAACCTCCCACAGATTCATAGCCTCATCCACCTTCCCATTATCAAACAACCCTTTAAGAAACACATTATAGCTTGCCACATTACGCGAACCACACTTCCCCATCTCCTCCCACAGCTCAAAACTCTCATCAACCCTCCCACCTTTACACAAACCATTAAGCATTGCATTACAAGTAACAACATCATTTTTAACCCCTCTCAAAACCATCTCCTTATAAACCCTTTTCGCTCCATCCAAATCCCCAGCCTCACTCAACCCATGAATCAAAGCACTATACGTAAAAACATCATGCTTCCAATCATTCATCTTCATCCTCTCCCATATCTCCAAACTCTCCTTAAACCTCCCACACCTACACAACCCACTAATCATAATATTATAACTAACAACATTCGGAAAAACCGTTTCCACCTTCAACAACCTCTCCCACATCTCCTTCCCCTTCAAAAAATCACCGATTTTAAAAAACCCATCAATAATAATATTATAACAAGTAACATCCAGCTCAACACCTCGTTCAGACATTTCATCAAACACCTCCAATGCAGTATTCAAATCACGATTTTTCACAAACAAACCAATCAAAGTTCCGTAAGTAAACCTATCCGGTTTCAAACCCACACTCCACATCCACGTAACCAACTTCCTCGCCTTCTGAAACTCCCGCTTCTTACACAAAACCTTCATCAACACATTATAAGTCTGCACATTAGGCAAAACACCAGCAGTTTCAAAATACGCGAAGAACTTCTCCGCCCGGTCCCATTGATGAGACTCAGCAAAAGCATTCAGCAGTGTATTGAACGAACGAACACCGGGTTTACACCCGAAAACCCGACCCATATTCTGAAAGAGTTTCAGCGCTTGTTCTGGCATTGAGGTTTTGGCATAGGCTTTTAACAGAGTGAGAGGGATGTCTTCAGGGCAGTTGAAGTTTTGTGTTTTCTGGATGGTGTGAACGATGTGGGGGGCGTGGGAATGGAGGAGGGTGGGGTCGGGGGATATGCGGCGGAGGATGTGGAGGAAGACGTCGGCGGAGTGGGTGTAGTTTGGGAGACGTGTGGCGGCGTGGAAAAGATGGAGGGCAGAGGTGTGGTTTTTTTGGGAGTCGAGGAGTTTGAGGAGACGGCGGGGAGAGAGAGATTTGGGAAAGTCCGCCATTTCGCGGCGGGGACTTAAAGGAAGTCGGAGGATGCATTGCTTATTTGAAGTTTTCATTCTACAAACGGTATTTTATATAGCGGATAGATTTCTCCTTTACCTCAAAATAAACACAAACAAGACAACAAATATAAACCATCGTTTTGAATTGTAAATTGTAAATGTATGATAACTACTCTATTAGTGTAATGGTTGAGAATTTTGAGAATTGAAAGATTTAAATTTGCACTTTTTACATTATTATATTTGATCGTATTTGATCAGAGTGATCGTCAAGGTCTTGTGTTGAGTTGAGGTTGAAAGTGAGATGAAGAGTATTTGCAAGATACTCTGATGTCAAACTAAGTTTTAGGGAGAGTGCAAGCAAGTGTGAGTATGAGTATGAGAATGAATATCTGACCCTCTCAAATAAGAGGGTATTTATAGCCCTCAACATTGTGCCAAGGTCCTCACTGTTGGGCCACGATGAGGCCCAATAATGAAGATTGACAGGGCTTACGTGTGTATGGAGTCCAGCAAGTGGACTACCCCCTGGTCAACTGCTCCGTGAGAATAGGGGTTGGACCCGTGGTTCCCGGAGGATAGTTAAGATGATAGTTACGCGGACACATGAGCCACGTTCCCTAACGGATGCGTGTGGAGTTGCCCAATGGTGCCTAGCTTGGGTTGCTTGCCTTTGGGCCTTATACAAGGGTGTTGGATTGGGTCTCTCAACCGTGGGGCAAGTGCAGACCCAGTCCAGATCAGGAGCCCCCCAAGTTATTTCCCTTAGATGAAAGGGTGATGACTTAAGTTCAGCTTTTGTAGCCGGGGAGGATTCGCTCGGGAAGGAAGGTCGAAGTCCTCTGAAAGGAAGCGATTTTTTGCCCGTGTCGGTGACAACCTATTTGAGTGGGTCGGGGATCTTGTGGATAAACGAGCAATGAGACCAACTGGGTCAACTGTTTATCCGATATGAGTCAATAAGGTACGGGGAGCTTCACTGAATTCTCTTTCGATGTGTCCGTCTTCAAGGGGTTGTCACGATGTCGAGCGTTATTTCTCCCTCAAGGTGGATCACGACGAATGTGCCCGTATACATGTCTTAGCCATGGTATCGACATTCCCCCGCGTGAGGCGTATGTCTCGTGCTCAAGTAGGGAGTTTTGTGTTGAAGTCGGGGACGTGTTCGTCTCCTGAGAATGGACATGTGGCTGATTGTTGGGCCACGTGGTTGTTGCTTTGGGGTGTCATCCCTTCATGGGGAGTTCAAAAGGCCCAATCTGATGATGACTTTTCATGATGAACCTCATGGGGTGTGAGCCACCTATAAAAAGGGGACTCCTTGGTTTCATTTGTCATTTCTCAATTTTTCTCCTTCAACTTCCCTTGCTCGCGCGTGAATTCTCTCTTCTCAACTTTTCCATATTTCTTTCAAGAATCCTTCATCCAAGTAAGTCATATATCCTTAGCATTGTATTTCATCAGTGTTTCTAGATTAAACACTTAGTTTTTGCCTTGACTAGATGAATCGTGGATGAACATTCATGAGTTCTGCGATGAACACTCATGAATGTTCATTGAAGTTCATGAGTTTATGATGTTGGGGAGAATCTCCCCGAGTAGTGGTCATGATGTTGGAGACGATTTCCCCAAATAGTTGGGGTTGACTCGGGCTTTTCGCCTATTTGACTGGATATCCCCAACGAAAGCGTAGTCTGTTTTAGTGTGTAGTCGGGGGCTTGGGTCGAGGTTCTCTCCTCGACCGCTTCATCACCCTTTCACTTGTTCTGCGATGGAAAGGTGAATTTGATAATGTCAAATTCACTGTTTTCCCCTGCTTTTCAGGTATAATGTCACACTCGGTCGGGGATGATGTCCTGCCCACCAACTACGAAGACGAAATCAATGTCGATGAGGACCCCTTGGCCTGGGTCGCACCTGATCCTCGAAATAAAAGGTCGTGCTTTACACACGATGCAACTGACGCGTTCAACTGTCCAGAGGTTCGGGCCGAAGGGGGCCCCGCCAACTAGATTCTTCAAATTCCCCATCACAACCAGAGGATTTGCTCGATATATTTGGGCAAACGTTTTTCTATGTACGAGTTCATATTTAAAGAGGCGGGGATGCGTTTTCCCTTCAACGATTTTCAAGTGGGGTTTTTTCAGTGGCTTCAATTGGTGCCCTCTCAACTTCACCCAAACGCGTTGGTGTTCATGTGGGCGTTTGAGCTCGTCTATCAGTATCTGCATATAGGAGCTACGCTGCCCCTCTTCTTCCGTATCTTTCACCTTCAAAGGCAATCCATTGGAGGAGGCAAAGTGTGGGTGTCCTTCAAACAGTTTGGGAAGCTTTTTAGGCCTTATCTGGAATCTGTCTGACACTTCAAAGAGAGGTACTTTATTGTGAAACCTTTGACGGATGTGGCCATAGACTCCCTGTACACCCGCGTGGAGGAAGTGGAGGATGGGTGTTGTACCCCAAAATTTGCCCTCCTATTTTTCCACAAGAAATCACAGCTTCGGGTTTTCCCTGACTTTTCAGATTGGCTCAAGAATCAGTCAAGCAGACTTTTTCTTATCAGTCTATCCAAATTAGGGTTTTCATGGACTCTGGAACAGTTCAAGCAGATTATTAGGGTTTGGTTGAGTTTGGCTCAGGGTTTGATCAGGCGAACATTTCTTTGACAATAAATCCAACATTAGGGTTTGCACGCGCATTTTCAGAAGAATTTGAATCCACAGTGTCTTAATTGACTGTCACATGGTTTTGACGTTTGTTCAAGATTTCTGTCTAAACACCTGGGATAAAAGCTGAGGCATTTGAATTGAGAATTTGCAGTGTTTGGTTTAATCAGTAAAAGGAAAGACATGTGGACGTTTGTTTGATTAACTGTGCAATGCTTTTGATTATTCGGAATGTCGGACGTTTATTGATTATTTATCATTTCTAAGTTAAAATTATTGGATATTGTCCAGTTATTATAATTCAAGAAATATAAATAATTAAATAAACAATTGAAGAGGAATTAAAAGAGAATTAACTGACAAAGGATTATTTTTATTCATTTTTAATTGTTTGTTACAATTATTATTTGAACACTGTAAATTTATTTACATTTGTTTATATTAATATTGTTACAATGATTAAAGATAAAATAAAACTATATCCTAAAGTTTCCTAAGTCTTCATCTTCTACTGATGCTCCCCATTGCTCAATTGATTTTCATCTGCAAAAAAAAAAAAAAAAAAAAGCCAACACAGATGAAATCAAAGACAGACAGTTAATCATAAAAGAGCTCATCATTAAAAGTGATTGGCCGGAATCAGTTTGTTCACCCTCTCTGCAAATCACAAGAAAATTCTTGGTTCACAAAGAGGGAAAGGAAATATGTTTGCAAATATAAAAATGTACAAGGCTGCAAATTTGAACCAAATGCACAAAGCTACTGAATATGCCAAATACAAAGCTGCATAGTTCAAAATTCCAAACTAAGTCACAGGTAGCAAACTGAATATGCCAAAACAAGTTGCAAAGTTCAAATGGAACAAACAAGCAAAGTTGTCAACAAATTGCAAACTGAACATGGCAAACTAAGTTACCAAAAGATGTCAACCAAGCTGCCAAAAGATATCAAAAGATATCAAGCTGTCATCAAAGAAAAGAAGAAAGTACAATATGCAGAGGAAAGAAACAATGCAAGCAACATATTCAAATTTACATCATTTTCCAGGCCACACTTTTTCAGAAAGAAGTACAGTGTAAGAAATAAAAAATGCTTTTCTGTGGAGAGAGAAAAGAGAGAGAGAAGAGGCTTACAATATAGCAGGCTTAAGGACAAGGATATAACAAACATATCAGAACAAGCAAAAGGGGGCAGAATATCACAAAAAAAACAAGATACCACAACTGTAACATGGCTCAAGCTTGCTCCAAAACTGTCTCCAAACTGTAACATCCTGCAAGATACAAAACACAAAGCCTGTACCAATACAACAAAAACCCCATACAAGCCATGCAAGCCTGAAGCCTAAACCTTAAGCTTTCAAACCAGCATATCACAACAAAGCCTGTCAAACATTAAAACTGCCTCAAAACCTGTTACATAACACAAGCTTAAACAAATTGCATAACCAGCCTTAACCTACTAAGCCTCAAACTACCAGCCTATTTTCCTCCAAGCCATACAAGCATATCAAGCCTGAAGCCTGTCAAAAACCAGGACAGCAAATATGAAACCAGAAAAAGCCATACAAGCATATCAAGCCTGAAGCCTGTCAAAAACCAGGACAGCAAACATAAAACCAGAACAAAGCATTAAATCCCAAGAGCCCTCAGAACCATGTTCATCATAGGGTCAAAAAAGCCAAAACTTAGTGTCCCGGTATATCAAAACTGAACACATCCAAATCCAAACCAAATATCCAAATAACAAAAATGAATGCCTCAGAACTAGGTTCATCATAGGCGAAGCTAGCTCAGTCCAAAAGAGAGAAAGAGAATCAGAATAAGGCAAGCATTCAAGCAGCCACAAGTGAAACGATAAGCCAACAAAGAGCAATTCAGAATCAATATCATCAAACTCAGAGGAAATAAACATACAGAAGCAAGCAATCAGAGCAAGCAAGCAAGCAATCAGAAGAGGAAAAGAAAGTTAAACTAGGGTTTTCAGAAAGCATTCATCACTAAACCACAAAAGCAAGATACGTGGTTACCAGAGCAAGCTAGCATCACTACTCCCTCCGCCTCCGGCCGCCTAAGGTGCCTCCAGTCCATTCCTCCGTCTCCAACAAAGGTATCATCCTTTTCCTTTTCACACACCTCAAACAGAAACAAATAACACCAAATAATAACATAAAGATCAGAACAAGGAAAGAATTAATCATGCAAATCCGAAAACCCTAAAAATGGTTAGAAGAAGAAATTGTTACCTTTTGTCCGAATCATCGTTGCTTTGCTTAACCATGGAGGGAGAAGGAGTTGGAAGTGGCGCCTAGTGGCCATAGGTGAGGAGGAG